AGCAAGGGACGAATCTCATGCTCCATTGCGAGGTTTTCGACCTTTACGCCTAAATTTGTCAAAATTGGACAAATTTTTTCTTGAACTCATTTGCCCCCTTCAGCTATTATTCCATATAWTGTTTTTTTTTTATTTGAACTTGTTTAAAGATGATTATTAATGTAATTTTCATTTTCAATTATGTTCAGATGCATTCCATATAGATACATTAATGCTGTTTTCGAAGGATGGGAAAATCCCTAGCTTTCCTGGACAAGCAGAACTGATCTTTTTTATTCATTTATTGCAGAAAGGATTAGGTAGATGGTTATTTAAGAGCAAGAGGTTTGGTTGAGATTATGAGGGATATATGTATCCTTTGCGTGTCAAGAAGCTACTAGACAACTGGCCTGAGAAGAACGTAAAAATGAATTAAGTACTGATTTTGGGTTGAAATGTTCTGTTCAGATGACTGTGGATGAAGCCAAAAAGTCCAGCCCACATGTCTGAATGATTCAAGCTCTGGAGGAATGGTGCTTCGTCTGCAACAGGAAAGGGATTAAGTTCTTCCTTGTTCTCTAATCTAGGAGATGGCAGCAGCTGACTTGTAATTATTTAGACCGGTGACAGAGGGACAGGCACAGAGCATAGAGACAAAGAAAACAAGATTATTTGATGACAACCTGAGAACAAGAAGCAAAATAATTTTTCTCTTGTGAAGTGAGTTGTTGGTTAATGGAAGAGATACAGATTTGCAGATGTTGCAGCGGTTCTGACTTATGGCGTCGACTGGCGGAACTGGAAGGGGGCTCTCACTTCGGCGAAAATGAGAGAAAAACAAATAATAGGTGATGCTACGCAATTTGGCTGATGATTTGGCTTTCAGTAGACGACGGAGCTGGTTGATCTGCACAGAGAGAATCAGAGAACCCGGGGGTGCTTACCCGGCGAGGTCGCTCCGATGCCTAAGTCAGTAATGTGTGAGCTGAAGACAGTTTAGAAAGCAAGATAGCTAGTAAGCAATGATTATGCGTACATTTTCCCCCGAAGGGTTCGAGTCTTTATATACTGGAGTCCTCGCAGGTTTTTCAGAGTGGTTCCGAGATTCTTGCCATGATGAGGCCCGTATCCGTATTAGCAGGAGATAACACTACCAACCGATAAGGCTTATCGCTTCCGCTCGATTCGGATGGGGGAGATAAGGCTGTCAGTTACGAGGTGTGATCCCGTAAAGTGTGGAATCTGGTGGCGGTATCTTCGGGGGTAACATGCAAAGGTCGGTCAATATTATCCGAACTAGTGTCCCTTGGGTCCGTCTTGGTACGAATGAGGTGTCTTATAACCGAAGTGATCTTGATGCAATCGTGCCCCAAAGTGAACTTGTCCCGAAGTGGACTTGCTTCTGAGGTGGACTTGCCCCGAGGTGGACTTTCCCCAAGGTGGTTCGGTTATCCGAGCTCGGTCCGTCACAGACTTGGGTACGTCGGGATGAGCTGTCGTCCTGTCAGTTAGATCGTGTCCACGTGTCCCCCTATTATTAGGTCGGGCCAAATCACCCTACATCAATTGCCCCCACTTCCCGAGCCAGGGGTCCTGACCCGATGCGGGGAGTTCATGACGAGCCAAGTGGATTTGGTCCAAGGTTCGGTCAGCTAGTCAGATGAATCATGGGTCGGACTTGTTCGCTCACCTGGCTCAACCAGGAAAACCTAGGTCGCGTATGGTTTACGCGTGGACGTCACACGATTTATAAACTCTGCAGACGTCAAAAAACACACTAAACTGATTTTACCCTCGGGGGCCGTGCAACTGTTTTTCCTAAGAGCTGTTGGATTGCTTCGATCTCGACCATTGGTTCTTGGACATAGCGGCTATAAATAGGGGGGTCCGCGACTCACTTTTCTTGCCACAAATTCTGCGATTGAGCTCTCCCGAGGTCGTGTCGGAGTCTTCCAACTCGGTTTTCTTTCCGTTTTCCACTTCGTTCTTCGTTTCCGATGAGCCCCCATTCCTTAGCTTTCTCCTGCTTTCCGATTATGTCGAGTTCTAGCGTAGATAGGCTTGTAGATAGTGTTAGCGAGGTGGAGGGCGTTGTTGTTCTTGCCAAGGAAGTCAGCCCACGGCAGGGTGCTCCCCTCACCGGTCTTTGGAGGGAACCTCTGACCCCGAAGTTGAGCCATCTTGGCTCGGGGAGACCGAAGCCCAGGAAGAGGGCCCATCCTCCAGGTCGGGGGCCCCAACTCCTTCCCACGGTCGGAAACCCGATGACTTCGGGCCTTCCAAACTGTCTTAAGATAAACTAATGTACTTAGTGTCCCACTATCGTCTCCCCGATAGCTTAGTCTTCAGCATACCCTTAGGTCTGTACCCTTGGGCTCATGATCACAATGAGCTCGCTATTTTTGAGGAACAGCTCGCGGTAGGGCTGCATTTCCCACTCCACCCTTTCCTGATAGAAGTAGTTAAATTTTACAACATCACCATTGACCAGCTTCATCCGAACTCTATTCGGAATATCGTTGGCACTATTTTTTTGTTCCACTCCTACGGCCGACCCCTAACCCTGGACGTCTTCAGCTCGATCTGTGTGATCAAGCGAAACTCGATCTGTCTGCGCGGGGACGTTAGACAGAGTTATTATATCTCTCCCAGGCCCGGATTCAAGATCTTGCACGGCTGCCCGAACAAGGTCCCGGCCTGGAAAAGGCGATACTTCATCGCTCGTAAACCGGAAGGGTGGTCTTTTCCAACCCACTGGAGGGTGGCTACTCAGGACCCCAGGGTGAGCTTGGACGGAGAGACCAGGGTAGTGATCAATTCGTGGAGGGACCTCGGGCTTGAGATGAAAAACTTCTTGGCTGAGGATACACTGGTGTGAGCTAGTTTGAGCCCCCTACTAGGTTTCCTTTCGGATACTTGCTTGAAACACCCTTTAAGTTTTTTGACTAATTGTCTGTTTTTTGCAGCTACAATGCCAGAGGTCGATGTAGAGAGCCTCCTGATGAGCTCCCGGAGGGGGAAGAAGCGAAAGGCTGCGAAGAGGCTTCGCCGGGAGGTCGGACCTTCAACGTCCGGAGCAACCGAGGCCCAGGCCATGGAGCCGATCTCCATTGAGCCCCCCAAGGAGGAGGCCCGAGCTGCACACCCCGAGGTGGACGCAGAGGAGGGCCGTGAGGAGGAAGCTCGTCCTCAAGAATCGGAGGATGTATCAGCTTCGGAGGGCCCGTTGCCGAGCCAGAGAGCATCCCCACGAGTGAAGGAGAAAGCATCACGAACCATGTGCTCGCGGTGCGCAAGAGCCGGGATGTCGTCTTTCCAAGCGAGGTTGCGCGATGGGTTGACATGCCTCTGAAGCGGCTCTTGGGACTAGCCTCCAGCCATTGCATGGTGGTAAGCACTCTGCCTTCGGCTTCGCTTTCTCTTTCTTTTTTCTCTCTTTTTTTTTTACTTACCTCGATTTTCCTTTGATAGGTCAACTCCGCCCTTCATGCGTTGGCCTACCAGTCCGCGATCCACTCAAAGGAGGCTCGGGACGCCAAGGTGGAGGTACGAAATCTCCATCGCGAGCTGGACCTAGCTCGGGGCGAGGTGCTTCGGGCTAAAAAGGGAGTCGAGGGCCAGAAGCAGCTGATTCTGGACCAGGACGGGCGGATCTCCTCGCTGATTGAGCAGATTTCTGCGATGACCGAGGAGAACGCGAAGCAAAAGGAGCTAATTGCGACAATGACCGAGGAGAAGGCATGGCTTCAACGAGAAGTCGAAAATATTGAAGCAATGGTTCAGGAACGAACTCAGATYTTCGAGACCGCCATCCAGGAGGTGCAGGAAGAAGAGAGGAACCAGGCTGTTGAGCGCTTCAAGGAGTCCTCGAAGTTTCGTGCTCTTCAGGCCGAATACGATTCAAGCTCCTACCGCTTTGGGTTCAAACTGTGTAGGTATCTAGTCTGACAGAAATTCCCTGATCTCGACCTCAGTGCCATCACGACGGCGGGCTTAGCTCTAGGGGTGGCTAGGGCAGCGAACGAGGAACCTAACTCGTCAGAAGAGGAGAGCGATGACGAGGTCGAAGTAGTGTGCCCTTCAGATGAGGCTGGCAATCTTCCCTCTTGATAGTTTTTCCTTCTTTTCTATTCCTTTTTGAATCATGGATGTACACCCCGAAGCCATTGAGCTCGAGTCACAATGAGACCTTTTGTACTTACAATCACTTCATCAATGAAATATATATAGACTTTCTTGACTAGTCTTTGCGTAGAAATATTCTAAGTGTGAGTGACTCCCAATCTGGGCAGCGAATGTATAGGTTACCCGAATTGTCGAGCTATCGAGCTAGACAATAAGTAAGGATAACCAAACATAAAATTTTTCTATGTGAATATCACCCTGAATTGTCTACCCGGACTATTAGTAGGGGTAATCTCACATAATGTACACCGAGGTGAGCGGCATTATGGGGTATATACCCGACCTGTCCGCGCAAGGGCTACACATTTAGATGTCAGTTGTCCCTAACGGGCCCAACCTATTGTTATATGCCAAAGTGGGCTAGACATCGTAGGGCTTATACTCGAGCTGTCTATGCCTTAGGCATTAGAGGTATTTTGCCTATACCGAAGAGGCATATTTTTATTAATGGTGTTTGGCAGTTATAATATAATCGAGTCCATTGGTCCATGATTTTTCTTGCCGGTTTGGAACCGATTCTACCAAGTATATCAAATCGTTCAAGTGGGTTCCACAATTTTTAGATCTATGGTGCAAGATGCATATTTTTTAAAAGGTGTAAGATGCATTTTCAAGAGATGCAATAGAAAGGAACAATTTATGGAGGAGATTTGTCTAGCGAGCGTTATATAAAGGGCGTCTGATGCAAGAAAAGAGCAAATTATGAAGGAGATTTGTCTGCCGAGTGTTATGTGAAGAGTGCTGCCACAATTCTATATACCGCCATGGTTCTTTTTCCCTGAGTAGAATTCTTGTAAGCCAAGAAACTTCCCTCTCAGAGAGATAGAGAGAGAACCATGAACAACGACAACATTTCCATCCGACATCACAGGAAAGCCAGTGTCAAACCTCATAGAGCCTTCACGGTTAATTTTTTCGGCAACAAGATCCGAACCATTGTCACCACCAACTTTGCTGTTGTGAAGAAATGGGTCTACAAAATCCGCTACTTTTACCGTGCCCGGCGCGACCAACTCGTCATCGGCCTCGGCGTTCAGTGGCCCGTAAATGACCCATCACAATCGTATACATTGCAGCTCTGCGTCGGTCGACACTGTTTAGTCCTCCATCTCTTCTACACCCGGTATGTCCCTCGTATCTTCCATCGGTTCCTCGCCGACGGTCGAAATACTTTTGTTGGCATCTGGAACTACAATGATGAAATCAAGCTGAGGAAGTCGCAGCAAAAGTTGTTAGTTTCTCGTCTTGTGGACGTTCGGTGTGTTGCAGCAGCGAGAATGGATATGAGTTTGCAAGCTTCCATGGAGACCTTGGCGGAAGCAATTCTTGGCAGAGAGGGCGTCAATAAGCATATAGAAATTGCAACGAGTGATTGGGGTCGTGGCTTTCTTTCTAAAGAACAGGTCCTCTATGCTTGTCTTGATGCATTCGCTTCATCAGAAATTGGAAAGAAACTCGAAGCTTGGGACTGGACTGATTGAAATGGGTTTTCATTTATCGTTTTCGATCGGTTTTCTTTGGTTGGTGATGGTTACATATTGTAAGTTAAAAATATTGTTATTTGAATTTATTTTGAAATTTGATAACTGTTATACCTAAAATTGTCAAATAATGTAACAATAACAATTGTCAAATAATTATAAAAATTATCAAATATAAATTAAAAGAAATTACCATTATTAGACATAAATTTCCAATATTTATAAAAATTACTAAAAATAAGTCAAAAGAAATTATCACAAATTAGTAGACTTTAGGATGATAATTACTTGAAATTATCAAATAATATAATCCTAAATACATCAAAATAATTTACCAAAAATCATCATAAATTAGTAGAAATGTCCAAAAATAGCCACTAAATTCTAAATTACTAGAATTTACCAATAAACTATCATATAATAAATATAATACATTAGTATATATTTACCAAGAAATTAGTATATAATAGAAATTACCAGAAATTAGTAGAAATTATATTATAGAACTAATTTCCACTAATTAACCAATAAACTATCATATAATAAGTATAAAAGAAGTATATATTGACCAAGAATTCTCATAAATTAGTATAATAGGAATTACCAAAAATTAGTAGAACTTAGCCAAAAATAACCACTAATTTCCATAAAATATTATATTTACCAAGAATTATTATATAATAGAAATCACCAGAAATTAGTAGAACTTAGGATGATGATTACATCAAATTATCAAATAATATGAAGCTAAATAAATTACAATAATTTGTTAAAAATTGCATTTCATTTTTCCGTGCATCGCACGGGTCCCCGCTAGTGATTAATTAAAAGAAGAGCAAGAGTTCGAGATTCATCTCATGATAGGGTTTAAAACAAAGGGAAAATCAATACGGATTTTAGCTAGATGCCTAGACCATAACAATAAGCTCAAAACACACCCAAAATCATTACAGATTTTAACTACAATCTATAGATTTCTTGCATGGTATGAGCAATGAAGGAGACTAGAAAGAGTATATACCTGTGAGTGAGGAGAAACCAAGAAAACAACTATTAAATGGATGGCGATAGAGTTGCAGACTAGTCTGGGATCCTATATTGAACCACGAGCTTGTAAATGTCCTCGACATTTAGCTTGGTAGGACCGAACTTAGTCTTGCTCTTAGGTGTTTGACGAGAGGGTGAGGCCCTTTTGTGGGAACCTCACCGCTCTTGGGCCGAGGACCCTCCTCGGCATGGAAGGTATTACCCCTCTCTTTCCCAAACTCGACACCAGACAATGAAAAAAAGGGCAAGACAAAGGGAAGATGACTAACCTAAAAACAAATAGACCGACCTCCCTAACGACACCAATTACTTCAACAATGCCGAGCTCCACGACCTTAGAACGCACCAGATCTCCAGAATCAGTAACGAAGGAAATGGGCCCCTGAAGGTCCTATTTATAGATAGACAAATCGAATTGTGAACGACTGAGATCGATTGGATCCAACGGTCCTCAAAGGCGTGATTGTTTGTATTCTAAGGTGAAATGTGTTTAGCGCATTTTTGACCTCCATGAGACTTAATGATTATGTGGCATCTGTGTGTAGCCGGAATGCGACCTCTTGGCCGAGTCAGATCAATTGATCCGATCGGATCCTAAGCCGTTGGTCGGACCTCAGTTGAAGCTGGAACTTAGGTCAAATCACCTCAGGTTAAACTACTCCCTCACCRAGCTAATCATGTCAGACTTGGGTGTGGGGGGCAATTGATGAGGGGTGATTTGGTCCTCCAATGATATCATGACATGTGGCACTACAAAACTGTCAAATGGCATCTTAGCACTACGTAAGCAAACCTTGGACACCTGGCACCTGTCTCAACCTCCTCGACCCCCCCCCCTTGGCAAGATGACCTATGAACAGCCTAGGAGATATCAAGTCGGCATGAAGAGGTGACCTGCCTCCATTGACCTAGCCCAGATCCAGTTAGCGACTTACCCGACATGATGGGTGACTTCCTTCTTGAAAAGGTTACCATCTTCGACTCCTTTGGGATCACGATGACACATTGACGTAGCTAATCTCAGTCCTGTCTACTTTGGATGCGACCATATAAGCATTATCAGCTTACGTGAAATCTATCTTTGGGCGTCGAACCACCTTTGAATCAGATGGGCCGGTGATCTTGGACACGCTCTGTGGATCTCACAACAATCTGCCTATATAAAGTGTTAGACAGTTTTTGTATGCCCTTAGCTCCAATCAGAATGATGTTACATTATGAGTTTATTGTAAATGAATAAAGTACATATTTGATTCATGTTCCTTTGGTATGTTTTTGTTTAATACCCTTAAACTAGACACTTAATGAGACTCGTGTTAGTTTAGAATGTTCACAGCTAGTGGGTCAGTCTAGGGAAAGCTATCCTGATAAGGCTGACACTGATGTGCCACCAAGTCGGTTGGGGTGGCTTGTCTCAGCCGCCAGGGTGAGACCCGAGGCACATGCAGTGTAGCATTAATTGAATCTTTGAACCGGACCAGATTTCCAGTATTACCCTGGACCTTAGAGATTAATGGGCAAAACTGGAAAGTTACACCCGACCCCAAGACTCGATTATGATACTACACTAGGTGTCGGATTAGGCTGTCTTTGATGTACCAATCAGTGAGATCCTTAGCGAGGGTCAAAACTTGGGTATGTTGGAACAGTCTGAGAATTCATCTGAGTGGGTGATCATAGTGACAGGATCAGCTCCTTTGTCGAATAAAAGTAATGATTGAGGATGCACTCTCACTAATGGAAACCAAGACTGCCGACAGCCGATTTCAATCGTTGAGATTTGTTTTGCAAAATATATTTTATATGAGATATAAAAGTATATATATATATATATATATATATATATTACGGTTTCCAAAATGTTTGCAAGAAGGTTTTAATTCCCGGGATCCACATAAGCAGAGAGTGCAACACTGTTCCTTGCAGCCGAGGGAGAGGTCTTCTCTTGTCGGGCAATGTTTGATCATTATGGGCTGAGAGGTTAAGTGTAAGATTATTGAGAATAATGCCTGATGGGCTAATCTTGCATCTGCCCACAGTCCCTGGGTGTTACAAGGTGGCTTGGCCCAGGGAGCACTTATGGTAAGTATTGGGCCCATAGAGCCCATATGATGGGCTTTCAGGGGTGCACTGTTCATAACAGTGTATTCGGCCAGGCCTTGTAACAAAGGCTGGGTCAAACCCATGTGGCTGATGTGTAGATCAATGCTTGGGTCCCACGGCATACAAGGAAGCCCAACTGGGCAGCATTTAGGAAGGCTAAGTGAGCACATGACTTTAATGGGCATAAAAGCCATTTCGAATTAGGTTGTTTTAATTAGTTAAATATGGGGCGAATTCTGAGGTGGATTAGCATATAGGATAGGGTCCCTATCCTGGGGTGGATTAACCCTATCCACTCAGAGAGTCCAGATCTAAATGTGATTTAGATATGGAAACCTCCTAATCAGATTAGGAAAAGGCTAATCTAATTTGTAGATAAGATAAGGGTTTATCCTTATCACCTAAAGGGATGTTTGATCCAAATATGATTTGGATCAACAACTCCTAATGGGATTAAGAACTGATCTTTTAAGGTTACAAAAGAAGGAAGGGGCGGCAGCCTTTAGAACATCACAAGATCATCAGATCACTGCAAATCTTTAGAGCTAAAATCACAGAAGAGAGAATTCAGCATACCTGCAAAAATTCTCTCTTGCCGCCTCCTTCCTGCCACCGCCTCACCTACCAGTTCGACCTCATTTTCAGTGGGAGAAATCAAGATTTGATCTTGATATCAGTTCTTTGTGAAGGGACTGATAGGAAGCTGTGCTCATGTGCCATGCTGCTATTTCTTGCGAAGGACTAGGTTCTTGGAGAAGAACACTACTGATTCTGCTCCATCCTACATTGCGCCATCTTCAGTGGGAGCAGTCTCTGGATCATTCCTTGGGCGTGAACACCTTCATTGGGAGATATTATTTCTCCGTATCAGGTATAATCCTCTCCTTCTGCTTTTGTTCAGATCTGGTTCAATTTATGGTTCAAGATTGATCCTTGAAAATATGATTTTCTAAATAGGGAATGCGATTCCTAGTTGAAGGGTGAGAAATTTTTGAAATTCGCCCACCTTATTCCGCAAGATTTGGGCGTCCATACGATGAATCTCTCATCCCTTCAGTGGTATCAGAGTCAGGTTTCAAATTTTGAAACAATTCTTTTCAGATCTGAACCTGCGCAAATGGGCAGAAGGCGTTTTACCCAATTTGCGCAGATAAGGGTTTTGGGAAATGGTTCCCAAAATTATGGGCGAATAATCTGAAATTAATTTTTATATAAATCTGATTATTGTTTAGAATTGTTCTTTATGATTTTCTTGATTTATGGGTTGTTCGTACAAAAGGATCAAAATCTTGATTTGCGCAGGGAACCTGCGATTTTGCAGTTTCTGGATTATTTTATTACATTTGGTCTGTAAA